TTACTGGATAAAGAAAGACCTTACTTTAAAAATAATCAAAAATCTCCTCACCTTGGGTTAAGTAAGAAATTGCAAGAGGAAGAAAGGAGCTTTTAACAAAATGTACCCTCACCACCCGCAAAGCAAGACCCAGCTGAAAAATCTGAAAAGTCTATTGACTAACACTATCCTGTGAAGAAAAAAAGAAGCACACTAAAGTGAAAATAGGTAAGTAACAGCACTAACCACAAATAAAGCACTGAAAATATCTGGTGGAAGAAAACAGCAATATTTTAAATAGATACGCCTATTTGCATTATTTTGTTAATTTGCAACATTATTCAGAGAAACAACATCTTATTATTTGATGTGTTAAAGATTATGATGCTTCTCATGCTAAAAGCCAAATAAGGATTAAACTACTGACCTCTTTTGTGTAAAATATTAAAGAGAAGGGAATAAAAAAAGACCATTGTGATTTATACCAAACTTCTTTTGTTTGCTTTTAGAAGGGGTGAAGCCCTACGCAAATAGAAGTGCTTCCACAGTAGCAGTACTTGTTCCCAGGAAACTTGGTGCTACAGTACTTGAGCAGAACCACGAAGCAATTCTTCATAAAAACAGCAACGTCCCTTTCGTGGCTTGAAGTTCCGATCAATCCTCGAATCAGAAGCCTTTCTTGTAAAAAGTGCATCACTTAGTAGCCATAGTTATTGAACCACACAGCTCTTTAAGACCCTCCTTTATACAATGCTACTCAACTACTATTAAACTTTCAAGTCATAATTAATGCCTAAATTATGCTATTACTGAAGGTAGCAAATTAAGTTTGAATAATCTTAACTGATTTTTAAAACAACTTCACTTTGATTTGCCCTAAGCCTAAACTTCACTAAATATTTTGACAACTAAAAGGTTAGATTTAGAGTTTACCTCTTCCCCAAAGTCTTAAGGTAAAATACATTTCAGAGTCATACTAGCATTACTATTTGGGGATGCTAATTTACATTATTTTTCCAACCATAATGTAAAACATTTTTCTACATTACTAATGAAGGCTGATCTCAGGGTTTCAAAAACTTTTTAAAGTTTCAACTATTTGAATATTACCTAGGCTTTTTTCTTTATAGTTAACATGAAGCTTTGGGGGAGAAATATGCTTTCAATGTTACTTTTTAAAGAAAATTTGCCTACCATCTTGCAGCTAATTGAGTTTGCTGAAATTAAACATCTAGTTTGATAAAGGTTAAGTACTTTTTTAGTTCACTCCAAAAATACTCATTATTTCCCCCAGTAAATAAACTAATCTCTATGTTCTATTTACTGTCACATCCACTATCTTCCAACTGTTTTGTTTTGGTTTTTTCTACCACCGTATCCAACAGTTTCACCAGCGTTTTTTCTACCTAAATCACTGTGGCACCATGGGCCATTCTTCCCCGGAGTGCCCACCCACCGAGCAGAAGCAAGCATTTTTTCTGAGAGCTGAGGGCATACTTTTATCTTCTTTCTCCACTCAGCCTCAATCAGCAAGATAAATGGGCAGGGACAGTCCTTCCCTCAAATAGGGAAATACTCTGCTTTCGGATTTTTAAAACTGAAGTATAACTGACTTATTATATTAGGGAAATGTTTTGTGATTGCAATTTCAACTGTTTATGGTTATTTTTTTCTTTTGGCAGCTTAATCAACAGTTAAGGGCAATATTACAAGCGTTTCATTCTTAAAGGGAAATCATTTGGGTTACATTTGATATAACAAGAAACCAAAAAAAGAACAGCCTTACTCTCAATGAAACTGTTCCTTTTTAAAACATCTAATCTTTATTACGGTAACAATGTATACACTGTATGTGTTCATAGTCTTCTGCTGGGCAAGTGTTTGGGAGAAGAAGCAAGACCAAATTACGATAACAAGAAACAGTTTAATTCATCTCCTTTAATTGATACATGTCTGAAGTAGCTTTAATTAGGGCAGTGGAGCATTCACTTCTGAAACAAGATACATGGTCAATAGAAAAAGAATCAAACCATTTGTAGCAATTAATAACACCTGCAAGGTAAGTTCATTTAATGTTGGAATATTGGCTGAGTTATATGTTGCGGAATGCAAAAAAATCTCTGAAAAAATACCTTTTTAAACTGTGAATCAAGATACTCAATAATTTTAATAAAGTCCCAGCCACAAGAAACCTTGAATCTTCAAGGATTAAAAACACTGAGGCCAGTTATTCAGAAAATGATAGATAGTAGAAATGAAACAAAAATGACTTCTTAAAAATTAGAAGATTATTAAAACAATGCAAATCTCCACACTTCTAAAATTACTGGATGAGATTTCTAAAATCAAATTATAAGGTCCTATATGGTACATTTTACACAAGAAGTTCTTTGTATGTGGTAATAGTTGCAAGACGTCAATAAAATAAATCTGAGAAGTAAGAGCACTCCTTGTAACAAGAAATATTATAGAATACTAATTCAGGAAGTTATTCAGCAGCTTATAAAGAAATAGGAAGTTGTTGACCAACTACTTGAAGAACTATTTCCTGTAGGAAAACTATAAGACAGATGAAGAAAGCAATAATTCTCAGAGCAATAAAAGAATTCTTTTAAAATAAAGCTCAATACACAATGTTGAAGAAATTAGTTTTAAACAGTAAATTCAGTAGAACAAATATACCCAATATACAGACTAAGCTTTTTAAAAATACTTCACAATCATACCAGAACTTGAATATGTGTCATTGATAAATGTAGCCAGTACCATACTTCCTCCTTATCACTTGCCAACCTAAGGTACAAGTCTTCCTCGGAAAATCTCACTGACCTAGGCAGGGCTTTAAAAATCCCAATAGTTGCCTACCTATAATCCTTCAGTAATTATGCTGCCTTGAAACAACAGGATGGGCCAACTGACTTCAAAGTCATTCATCTAAGGTCGCAAGACAACAGCTGGTTGTTTCCCTACATTTCCTGACATGTACCAAATAATCAATGATTTTGCCTGCTTTTACTGACCAAGACACATCTAACAGGGAAAACATTTCTATTCCTGAAGGTTTGATATGAGAAAATTATTCCATGGTGTCAAAAATCTTCATGTTTCTCATATAATAAATCTACTTTTACTTCCACGTGAGAATCCCTCAAAAATCTTAAAGAATAATCATTTTATTTCTCTTCTTCCCAGTTTTTCATTTCCATGGTAACCATTACCCATATGGCATAATTTTCGTATCATTTTGTCCTGGTTTACCTTTGCTACAGGCTCACTTGAGCGGGGTGCTTGGGGTGGTGTGGGGTGTGTGTGTGTATACCCTTCATTAATCCATCTTTGAGAGAAACACTTCTCAAAGGAAGAACCATTGGAAACTAAAAAATAAAGTATAGAACATTTCAGGTCAAAACAAAAAGATCATTCAAAATAATAAAAATGTAGGCCCATGTTACCTAAAAGCAATTATTACAAGATACAAAAGACTAAAAGAGGAGCATAAATGTTGCTCTTTAATCATAGACTTTTAGCTATAACATCAACCAAAGAAGAGAGGCAAGCCAGCTATTAAGCTGTTTAAAAATCTCCCCAGGTCAGCATGTGACCCAGCAGGGAGAGGTTCAAAAAAGTACAGCCTTTCTTTTTCCTAACAACCTGGTTTGTTTCCACTCCTTTCCCTTCAAGACACATCCCTCACAGCTAGTAGCTCTTTCAATCATTTACTCTGGATGTCTGCTTGAGAACAAATAATCTTGCTCATGCAGATGAGTCTGCCAGACTTGTGTGTACTTTCCAGTCTCAGGCCCTTTATTGTTCTGGTTGAAACCTGACCCTTTGAAATGGATACCAGGACACCAGAAAACGAATTTAAAATATAAGAAAAAAGTTGGAGGAAAAGGGGCAAAAAACTGCAGAAACTTTTTAAGATCAAACTTTTTCCTCTGCTCTTCTAAATAAGCTTGTCACAAAACTGTATCTTACACTGCAAAGTAACAATCTGCCCCAAAAGACAATCAATATAAAATAATAAGACACACAGCAAAACAATATCATTATTGTATTATCTGATCTAATGAATAAATGTTACATTTCCCTTAGGAGAAGACTGTCAGGACAGATCACAATCAAAACTTGGACTGTTTTTTACTTTATTATCTCAACATGATTAAACAATACTAAGTAAGCAACTTTTTGAAAACATCAATTTCAGTCTATAATAATTACTTTTAGGAAACATTTTGTATATACTTATTCCAAACACACCAAATAAAAATATTAAGGTCCTACCTATAATTTCAAAACAAGAAGGGACGAAATTCTATTTTGATCTTTTCAGCTTCAATGAAATTTTGCCACTTTTTTTAAACACACAAAAAATAAGGCTGATAAAAACAAATAACCCAATGGCTTTGTTTTTGTTTTCCCAGAGAAGAGAGATTCTGTTTTGAAGGCCTGCTAGCTCGAAGAAGTTTGACACTGAGCTTGTATATCAAGCGGGGAAATTCATATTTCTGTTTACCCTTTGAGGGAAAAACAAACTGATAAATCACATCAAACTGCAGCTAAAGGGGTCTGTCATCTCACAACCTAAAGTACTATAATATTAGACTCCTAGGGAATTCCTCCTTATTTTTATAGTTCTTTTCTACCAGTAAAATGGTAGAAAAAGGTAAGTAGTACTGCACATATTCATAAACCTATGCCAGCCCCAAAACTCTCACAATTTGAAATTCTTCATGGTATCCTTTCAGTTTTGAGCTAGGCTAGTTAATAGGTTTGGCACAAACTCAAAAGGAGAACATCCAAATTGCCACAAAATAAAAGATTATTAAAAGGTTATGAACCAGGAATCCATAAAGCTTTCAAAACATTACCTAAAGAAGGTATTTAGCTCATACTGAACTGAAAAAAAAATTATGGAAGATATAACTGAGCTTGACATAAATACTAAGTACAATATAAAAATAAATGACGTTTTATATCTTTGTACCAGAAAATTATCTCCTACCATTATTTTCACTTACTTTAAGAAGTATCTCTGACCAGAAGATGTCTTTGCCATCTCCCAGCCCGCTGGCAGAGGTACGTCATCAGGTATCTCAAAAGAAGACTGTCTAAGGTGTTGAGCAGTGGGTGTAGCTGCTGGGCCAGAGACTACTCCCGTGGGTGTCAATGTCCCAGGAGATACGGCTCCCAGCTGCAGGGAAGCTGGAGAGGAATGAGCTCGAACATGCTGTGGAGTCAGGGCCCCTGCAGTGCCTGCATCAGTACTGGCCTATTAGGAATATTAAAACAAAGATTTCTTAAAATTTGTTTTCAAAGAGAGTCCCTTTAGATTTCTTAGATAGATATTTGGTTGCAATGAAATTCTAAATCCAAAGGCACATTTCAACATTTAATATTTGACACAGAGGAATACAGGTTTGCAGATGGATACTTTTAAATGTTTACGTGAAGGCCAAGGCAGTGTGGGTGCTTTTCCAAGTTCTAAAATGTTCTAGGTATAAACAAAACCCAAGGAATATAGCTATGGATTCTTTTTCTTTCTTTTTTTTAAACTAGGTTTTACATAGTGAATGTTTTTTCCAAGCCAAGCCCTAAACACACAACAGTTGTCATTTTTTTCTCACCATGGACAAATGTCATCAATAAAGCAACCATCAAAATTTATACAACTTTTAAGGAATACAAAAGATCCAGAAACATCCGAATATTCTTAAAAGCCTCCTAATGAATGAAATAAAAACCCAGCCATATATTTGTACCTAGATGATAAAGATGCCAACAATTCCATTACAATATAACTTAAGAATTTACAAACATATTTACAACTGTGTAGTAGCAGAAAAAATCCTGAACTCAGACCCTGAAGTTCTGGGTTCCAGTCCAAGCTGTCTAGTGTGACACTGAACAATATCATAATCTCTGAGCCTCAAGTTTTCTCATTTGTTAAATAGCTTTTTTTCATGATGGAAAAATGAGTATATGAATTTATATCCAATAATTTGTGAACAATAGTATTTACAACCCACATTTGTAGTATTCATAATCTAGTACAGTTATTTAAATTCCTTAACTGAAGAGTTAGGGTTTGATGATCAAAAAATTAGAATTTCCTAGATTCATATAGGCAAGTAAGGAAGACTAAAAGCAATCAGCAGATGCATCTATGCCTTGATGTTAAATCATGTACATTCTGAGTTTCCAATCAGAATGAATTAGGACTCATTAGCAGAAATAAAAAGTCAAATTTATAGATGCACGACACTTGGTTAAAAAAGGCATTAAAACAAGCAAAACTACAATAGATTATGAATAGTATGAATCCATAAACTGCTGATATAAATTACTGTGCAATTATTTACTAGAAAAATAAGTATTGCAACTTTTAGTTGCAATTCTTTACGGCTTATAGATGCCACAAAATGGGGAATTCAGTCTCCTATGGGTATTATACTTTCAAAACATATTAACTAACAGCATACTCGTGTAGACTGTGGGGTGCAATGCCAACACATTTTTACCCATAATGAGTCCAGAAACTCATTTCCAGGGGTAAGAGAAAAAAAGCATACCTAAGTCTACTTCTTACAAATTGAAGTTATTTGGGGCAAGCTGCTAAATTGTTTTTCCTTCCTCTTCCTTAACCCAGGTTTTTGTCAGCAGGTTAAGTGAGTTTTTCTGAGTTCCAAAACCCCTTGGTCTGAGGCAGGAGAACACACCACAGGCCTGCTGCAAATAGGAGGGGCGATGGGAGTAGGGCGATAACTGTTCTTCTCACTCAAGTTACAGCCGAATGGACTAACTACATCGCAGTATTTGGAAAACCAATTAACTTCTGGACAAAGTTCCTATGCTGAAGTTTAGCCTGAAGCAAGCTCTTTTTAAAAAAGTAAGGAAAGGAAGAAAAACCTACACTAAACAAATCTTCTGGGACAGGTCAGAATGTTAACACTTTCATAATAGTTTCACTTTAATGTTGGATCACGTTGACAAAGTAATCGAACGTTGTGTATGTAGAACAGCCATGTTCATATCCTCAATAAGAATTAAAGAGCAATGGCGAGCCTCGAATTAGTCATCACTTCCCAAACATTAACTTCTAATCACAGTTGAACTAGGCAGGACTCGACCTATGAGTCAACCTGCAGTGCGTTATCAAAGGCTTCTGTTAAAACCAAAGCACGGTAAAGCTCAACTCAGGTCCTGCGCAACGTGTAGATGTGGCTAATTTAAAAGCATTTCGGCAAACTGTAAATAATAGTCTCCAACGGGGAAGCCAACACGTGAACCAACTAAGTTTGATAAGAGTAAGCCTGCCCGACTTCCAAGGCGCTAGGTAAGGGCAGGGGTGAAAGCACTAACTCCATAAACAACTTCCAGGAAAGTCTGGATCCTGTATTCAGAAAGCGCCGGGGCCGCGAAGAAAATAAATGCTTTTGGGAGGGGGAGGGGGAGAAAGAGCGAGAAACTAAATGGACTGGTTCAACCCCCACCCCTAATCAACACTGGAAAACAAGAGAACAATTATTTGACTCCCTAGGAGACTGAAGTGGACCGAGAGGCCCCGAAGGAAAGGGGGCCCAGGGCTCAACTTCACAAACTCGGCCGCCGCTGGCAGCTCACCCACACACAGATGCCAGAGGCCCCCCTCCCCCTCCCCGGCCCCGCGGCGGCGGCGGCGGAGGGAGCGAAGGTGCGGAGCGCGGCGGCGCGCGCATTGTGCAAGCCCACCGCGGCCCGGGCCCGACTCTCCCCACCCCCTTCCTTCCTCCCCACCTCCCCTGCCACTCCCGCCAACCTCCCGGGAACCCCAGGAAGAAAGAAAGGGCAGGGAAGAGCACGCCCCCCGGGGCTGCAACCGCAGAGAGAAACTACAAGGGGAAAAACAAATCTCGGCCCCGGACTCCGGGAGGAGTGGGGAGCCCGTAGCCGCGGCCGGCGGGCGCCTCCAGTCCCCCCGCCTCTCCGCGAGCCCCCATCCCCACCTCTCTAGCGCTCCCGGAACCCCCCTCCGCGGCCAGGGCTCGCGGCCGCCGCTCCCGAGCGCCCCCGGGCCTGGGGCCCGCCCGACGGGAAAGTGGGGAGAGGGGCGGCCAGGTTACCTGTCGGGAGTGGGACTTGGGCTCTGGAGGCTTGAAGAATGAGTCAGGCAGCTTCCGGAGCCTCATGGGCACAGTCTGGGGCACGTTGGCCGTCTTGGGGTTCATGACGGCGTTGAAAAGCGCCTCCAGGTCGGTCTCCGAGTCCCCCCGGACGTGCACGATCTGGTGCCCGGCGGGGGGGGCCTGCGGTGCCGCCTGGGACCCCGGGGGTGCCGTCTGCCCGGGCCCGGACGGCGGCCCCTGCCCCTGGGGGGGCTGCGCGGGCGGCTGCCCTTGGCCCTGGGGGGCTGGCTGAGGCGGCGGCTGCTGCTGCCCGGGATCCATGGTTTCTCCCTCCCCCGACGCGCAGCCCGACCAGGCGGGCAAGGGCTCCGCCCGGGCGCCCCGGCTCGACGGGCCGAGATGGGAGAACCGGCGAGGGTGGCGGGCCGGCGGCGCTGGGCGGCGGGAGCGGCGCTCGCCTTGCTCTCAGCGCCGGGGGGCTGCGCCGCGGCCCCGCATCCCCGCCCCGGCGCCTCCGCCCCCGCCCTGCGCCCCGGCTCCACTGGTCTGGCGGCTGCGCTTCGGGAGGGGCTGCGAGAGACCCGGACCTGCGCGCCCGAGAACTTTTTTCCTTCACGCCCTTGACGGATGCCGGACAGCTAGTTGCCTTTCCCCTCCCCCTTTCTCTCTTATTTCCTCTTCTTGTTCCTTCCTTCCTCCCTTTCTTTTCCCCGGCGGCGGCTGCGCCCGACTGAGACAGAAACTCGCCTCAGACGCCAAAACTAAAGTTGAGAGAACCGCCCGCCCGAGCCGCTTGCGGCTCCGCCTCCTCCCGGCTCTTCCTTCCTCTGCGCGCCCGCCCGCACAGGATCCGCGGCCGGCCGCGGAGGGAAACTTTCCCCTGCAAGTTAACTACATTCCTGCAGACTCCCGGCCTCCAACGCCCCTCCCGGCCGCACGTGACCAGCCCGCCAGCGGGCCGGGCCTCCACAGTGCTTCATGGGGCTGGGGCCTGGGGGCGGCCGCGGCGGGGAGCGCGCCCGGCGATCCGCGCCGGGAGGGCGGCCGGCCCGACGACCAACGTTGGGTCTGGTCTGGGTCGGAGCTCTGATCTCTGCGGCGAACGCGGCCGCCCTTGGCCGCAGGAAGTCCTCCCTCCCAGCCCGGCCCCTTCCCCGCCAGTTCTCGGGAAAGGCTGAAAGGTTTCCAGCTCGCCCCGAGATGCGAAACAGCCAAGGCCGAAAGAAGTTGGGAGGGGACGTATAAATCCCCTTAAGCCCTCCCTGCGTTAGCCCGACTTGACCAACTGGAGTGTCAGTGTGGGCTCAAATCCTCAAACTAGGTTGGATTTAAAATGGTACCCGTAACAGACATTGATTTTAATAAGGGTCCATTTTTTCTTAACATTAACTTGATTTTTTTTCCACTCAATATTCAAAACCCACTTGAAAGGGATAAACGATTTCTGTAATTTGAAGCTTTAAGACTAGATCTGTGACTCTGTGATTTACTAAATAACCAAAAACTGCCTTTTTTAAAAGTGAAAACTTTTTTAGTGCTCAGACTTGAAACACAGTCTTGAAAATCTCAACGGAAAAACTCAGTGTTTAACTTCGGTTGCAAGCATTCCTCGGTGTACCTGTCTTTCATCCTTGAGGGGATGGGAGCCTACCTCTCTTTGTTATCCCTGTGCCCGGCACAAGGGTGGATTCTCTTAAAGTTGACCGAATAAGAAATGAACGGGTGAGGAGCTCACCCCAGGCACCTGGTTCTCTTTGTGGTGTCATATATGCAAGGAGTTCACTTGAAATCACTCAAAAGCAATGAAAATTTGTTGGGGTTTTTTTTGTTTTTTTGTTTGACGCCTCTTGCGAACCCGTGCCCCCTGCAGTGGAAGCACGGAGTCCTAACCACTGGACCGCCAGGGAATTCCCCAAAATTTGTTTTTTAATTTAATTCTGATTTTTTAAAAAGCAGCTTTACTGAGATATAATTCCATACCATACAATGCGGCCATTCACGCAACCCAGTATTTTTCGTATATTAAAAGGGTTATGCAACATCACTCTGATTTTAAATCCACTAGTTCATTCTAAAGAAAACTAGCTTCCTGTTTTAATGATTTTGTCTGCAACGCTAGTGAAACAGATGTGTAAACAGGATTAAACAAGGAAAGGTCCCCTGAGCAAAAAAATAAACTCTTCCTCCAGCCAGGACATGCCCTGGATAAATCTGAAGAGGTATCTGTATCACTCGGTGTGGTGGGGCAGGCCAGGGAAAGAGCCTCAAGATTTTACGGCAAGATTCTAATCAACTGCTCTGGATTACACTTTCATCTGAAGAAAGGGATCTGCCTCCATGATGCCCATGACTGCTTTTTATATTTATCCCCACCCCCATCTCCAAATGTCAAGTGCGTTTAACCACAAATTTATAGGTTCTGGAGTTCCAGAGATCTGAGTTCAGATCCCAGTTCCACAATTTACTAGCTCTGTGACATCGGACAAGTTACTTATTTCCTATTCTTTAATTTCTTTAATATTGGGGTCAGGTAATGACACCTACTTCATATGTTGAGATAAATGAGTCAGTGGACATAAAGCAAGTACTTAGTGCAGTTTTGGGTGTGTGGTGAGATCCACATAAACGTCAGCTATCGTTGTTTTGCCGTGTTCACAGATTACTTCACATGTAGTGACATGGCCTCTCCTTTGCAGCAGTCCCCCTCAGGGACCCTGTTGGCAGTCCCTTCCTGTCACATCTAATAATCAATCCACACAAAGCCTTTGGGCAGAAACTATGCATTAAAATTTCCAACTGAAAAAAAAATTTTTTAAGAACCAAAGTTATTGAAAACCTGGGATTGTAATGGAAGCTGTCCCTTCACTAGAGTATTTATTACCATGAACACTATAATTAAAGGGCTTACGGTACAGCAGAGGTTGCTTTGTTCAATATTGTTTCACCTGCCATTCAACTGAGAAAAAAATTACTTTGATAAGTGGATTTAAAGGCTGTCTGGAGTGATGTTATGTTCTGTAAGCACCTCTGTAGCATCAACCAAGATTTTGTAACTGAATATTCCTGATCTACAAAATTTCAGTCACAGGTTAGTAAGGGATAAAGATAACATAGGTTTAATCCTTCGTCCCCTCTCTTCCTCTCCAGCCCCACTTTTAGAGCAATTATCAATCCAAGGCACCTTGAGGTACGGAGTTGCCTTCTTCATACAAAGACCCAGGTTATCCTGGATCATTTTCAAGTCCATGTAGATCACTATCTGAAAACACTAGTCTTATAATGACTTGCCTTCTCAACTACAATGGCCCCTCTTCTCTACTTTATCTGTCCACACCCCACCATAATCCAGAAATACTCCAGTTGTGAAATCAAACTATGTTATACTATTCCCTTAATTACTCACACCTCATTTATTATTAACTTCTCTCTCTTCTACGAACCTATCACTCCTGTTTTCACTTCTTTCCCAATTCAGTTTAGAAATCATAACTCATTGCTTCAGCCTCTCATAATCATCTGTGCCCTCAATTCTATTGCCCCATGTATTTGAATGAACTGGATCTATTAAACTGGATTAATCCAGTCATCTGTCTTTTCCATTCTAACACCTAAGGCTTATGGGGGCCTGGATCCCACATTCATTAAAAGCTTCAATCAAAACTTTTGACAGTTTGTCCAAATGAAGTTATACTATCATCCCACAGATATACCTACATGATTACAAGAAAGCATTCACTGTAGAACTTTAAACTTTGTCCTGTTACCAAATGACACTGTCTGCAATGCATTATAAATTAATATTTTAAGTAAATTCTGTAATTAATGAATAGCACAATTATATTGCACTGTAATGATTGTGTGTTAAAGTTATTAATTTGCTAAGTGAAAGCATTTGAAACATACTCTGATTTTGTAACCCACTCCTGGCATCCCAGCGTGCTTGAATATACTGGGGGCTTGAAAAGAGGAAGTATCCAGCCCTCTCCCACTCCCAGCCTCTGGAAAGCCTAGCTGACACCCTGGTTCCTGGGGACAAATGGAGGTAATCTCACAGGCTAGTAGCCCCTCCATATTTATAGTCTCTAACCATGTTTCCTTGTGTCCAGAGTCAGCTTCTCACTCATATGATATTCTAAACTTTACCACTCTTCTCATCATGTTTATTCATCATCGCCCTGCCCTTCAGAAAATCACATCACCTCCAATTGCACAGAGAAATGGAGGCCACCATACACAAAAGCCCTAGAAGTCTTCCCCTGAACCTTCAGAAACATGTATATGACTTCACAAGCCCCTCCCTCCACAGGTACATCTTTGGAAAGAGCAGTCCACATGCCTATTCTTCACTTCTTCACCTTTTGTTCATTTACCCTTTGACCCAACATACCTAAAACTGAAATCTTTACCACTACACTCCTCCACCTTCTACCACACACACCTTCCCAAGCCGCATCCTCTTTATGATTTACCATCTCAGTTAATGGCGTCAGGATCCACCCACTTGTTCAAGCCAGAAAATTGAGTGTCCTCTTAATCACCACCCTCTCACCATCACTTACATCCAACCAGTTGATAACATGTGTTAATTTTCTTTCACATCTTTGAAAGTCTGCTGCCCAACTCCAGGTCTATTCCACTTTGACTTCACTTCCCATCACTTTCTGCAGAGCTTCCCAAATCATGTCCCTGCTTCTAGTTTTACATGGTTCCATCAGACATCTATTCTGATTCAGAGTGACTTTTCCAATGTGCAAGTCTGATCATGGTGTGATATATTCAAGACTCCCTTACCATGGTATAGACTCACTTATATAAGTTCTGTTTTCCAGGCCTTTGTGGTTCCTTGAATAAGCCGTTTTCCCTCTCACCCTTTGGCCTCTGCAGATGCTATTCTTGCTGTTTGGAACTTCTTTACTCTTCTTTTCACCTGATTTCCCTTGGTACTAAAATTGCAAGACTTCTCTAATGGGAAGTCCTCCTTGGCTCTCCCCTTCTTACTGGTCTCTACCCCACAGTAGGTGAGAGGCTTCTCCTCTGGAATCTCACAGAATCCACCCACCACTTCCATCATGGCGTTTACCATAGTTTTAATTTTTTTATGTTTCTGTGTCCCCAACACCACTCTGGATGCTTCTACAACAATATCTTCCATCTCTTTATTCTTATGCCAGCAATGCTTAACAATAGATGCTCAATAAATATAGAAAAGAAGTAGGGGAGAGAGGTAAGGAGGGATCCCAGAACTCAAAAGTAAAGATATGGGTTTGCTGCCACGATTCCAATTTTGAAAATTCAGTCTCCACAGGACAGATGTTTCTATA